AGGTGTTACTTAAGATACATTCCACTTGCGTGTTAAATGAGCCATCAAAACACAGCTGTTTGTTGTTTCCTTTTAATACCCACGATCATGATAATTATCATTCTGGCATAATCATGAACACATTAGCGAAGTGAGGAGAGTCGTGTAAACATACTGTTGATAAAGTGGGTTTCCCAAGGGCACAAGGTTGGTGACATGGCAGGGCTAGGATTCGAACCCGGGACCTCTTGGTTCTGAGTCGAATGCTCTGTCGTTACGCCACACGACCGAACTACTGTCAGAATTCGAATAGCCCTGAGGAAGGTGACAGACGGTCACTGAAACGTCGGCTGAATAAAACACTTGGTTGTGTAAAAAAGAGTCCCTCTACTTACAACAGCTGTTATTGTACGATGCCTTCATTTTGTGTTGGTATTGGACAACGATGTTATATTTCATGACATCAACTCTCTTCTCAGCTTTAAATTGTCTGACCGAAGTAAGATACATGTACCAAACCCGCTCAAATGATAAATTTTATAAAGCAGATTTACAGTTGAACCTGTGTATACAAACCATTTGTGGATAAAAAATAACCATTAGGGAATAATCTTAAGCGCCTTCATTAAGAAATGATACTAAAAACAAGCCCATGGGCATATTTCTTAACTATGCTCATTAACATTTCTCGTCATTTTGCCTTATGAAAGACATATGCTCTTGGATTAGCTGCTTGGTTTCAACTTTCAGAAGACATTAGAGGAGCACAATATTAAAACAATATATCTCCTTTTCTCCTACAGAGAATCTCCATATTTGATTACGTTTTTGTAATTAACCGATAATTTTCACATCCGCTATAATGACTTTAGATCACTGAAACTTTGAACGGTGAGTGAATAGTTTCATCAGAGTGATCATTAATCCAGCATAGCTTTCTCAGGTACACAACCTTATTTTTTACGTTTTGGCGGCTGCTCTGCTGCCTTCATTGTGGCTAAGTACGTTTTTCCTTATTGTGGCATATTCTCACGACAATGATGCGTTATCCAAAATGAACTTTTCTTGTCACTTTGTGTCTTTGCTTGAAAGTCCAGTCAGAGTACTCGCACTAAGTCGAGAAAGGCTTTATAATATTCTTTTTTTTTTTTGGTGCTAATTGCTGGTACAGAGTCAAAGATGGTACAGTATAACTAAAACATCATTTGTATAACAAACTACTGTCTGAAAAAATACATTTACTACTACAATTGTAGTACTCTTGTACCTGACTTCTTCTTTGAAGGCAGTGGATAATGAACAGTCCCACATTCTGCATAATGAGTGGGTTTTGTGATCTTAGTAGAAATGAAGTCTTTTGGTGATCTCATAAATGCTAAAAGGATGGAGAACTTGTGGTAACTGTTTGAAACAATCTGTTTCTGTATTTAATTTTCCACTGTATTCATTGGGCAATAACTACATAGCGACCCCTTTCTATTTCTAGTCGGTGTGCACTTATTCTAATCTTACACATGGCGGATCGCGTATTCAGATTTAACAGGTTTGTGAAACCTTACCAGTTATCTACAGACAATTGGTGAAAAACGTTTGAACTTAAACTTGTAGTTTAACTATTGTTGTAGTATTACTCAATATAGGCATTTTCATGGAGGTAGGAAATTATAGAAGAAAGAGTTCCAAGACCAAATGATGTTAACCCTTTCGCATTGGTTTTTAAAATAATATACATAAGTTATATTCAATTGTCATGTTATCCACTCAAACAACAGGGGTTGTCCAATGACAGTCTTATCATATAAGGCTATTATAGCATTCTAGCACGTTTAAATAGTTCCATCATGGAACGCAGCAGATTTATTGTATATCCTAATTTATCAATGCAAAAAATCCAAGCTGCTCGGGGACCCAAACTTATGTCTGTTCTTCATGAGCACAAGAGTTATCTACCATGACCCCATCATGTCCAGAACACATCAAAACCGGAAATAAACCTTCAGAACGCGCCTACCGGGGCCACTGAATCCGTGTCATTGACCGGTTATCTTAGAAATAAAACAGACAGGAAACACATTCAACGCCTTCACCGTCCAAATTTCTTGTTCGAAATCTTTTTACAGTGACAGTTTCTTTCCCCGTACGGCCAAGCTTTGGAATTGACAAGTGTTTCCCACCAACCTACAATCTACAGGCTTTCAAATCAAACGTTCACCGCCATCTCTTGACATAGCGATGTTTCTCTCATCTTTCTAGTTCAATGCCGAGAAGTGGTCGCAAGGCCTTGCATTGAACTACTCCGTCTTTACTAGGGAGGAAACATAGCAATGTGCTCTGACTAGGTATCGTCGCCATATGCGTGGACCATGATGGTGGTTGGTCACTACTAATGTCCAATTCAGCAGATCTTTTGGTGGCTGCAAAAACGATCAAATTGACCGGCAGTATCCATTTGTCAGGCAGTTACCATTTGCGACATTTGACTGGCGTAAAAAAAAGATACCAGTACAAAAACGGCCCGATAACAACACCGAAAACACGTCAGAATTAGGCTGGAGCCTAAACCTCTACTTAGAGAGAAGGTACTACATGACATGAGGAGGTTTTTTTTTATTACTATTCAACATGGACAATACAAGACATGGGGGTGAGGTACTCTAGCTATGGCTAATTTTTAAACTCACCACCAAACATATAAGTATACAGTGACAAAATACATGACAAACAAGAGTTCCTCCATGAAATATGGGTTTGACATGTAACGTTAAATGTATTCTTTAATTATGCAAATGACCTCTACATAAACATAATAAATGCATCGTGATGTTAACTTTTTATTAACTTACACATGTTCCAAGTATAAAATTCCCATCATTTACCACTAAGGAGTCATAGAATTTTGAGATAAATTATGCAAATTAGGTCCGTATTTGCATAGTTGGTATCTGGTGATATTCCTCCTGCCATAGATTATGAACATTACATGTATCCAAGACCCATGATGTAAAACACTGGAATTACACAATTTCCTCATTAATTATGCAAATGAAGTCATCATTTGCACAATTTGCATCCAATAATGTAGATCTCTGCCTAAGCTACCCACATACCAAAAATCAAGAAAATACATTGTTCCTTTGTGAATTTATCTGCTCTGAAAGGTTTCGCCAGAAACTCCCCTGCAGTTCCAGAACAAGCTGCTAGGGGGACCAAACCCACACCAATTACTGGCAGGAAAAGCTATCCACCACTCAAAAATCAAGACCATAGCATGTCCAGGACAAAAGATACAAAAAACGGAAGTTCTGCTGCAGTACCAAGGTCATCCACCAGGAGGCCCATATTTGACCTTGACCTTTGTCTTTCCAAGACTTACCAACATACCAAATATCATCGCAATCCATAAAGGCTTCTGAAGTTATGCTGACCACAAAGTTGCGGAAACACACACAGACAGGCAGACAGACAGACAGACAGACACACAGACATACAGGCAGACAAGCCAAAAACAATACCTCCATTTTTCATGGAGGTAAAAACAAGAGAACAGCAAATGGGTGGAAATAGATCAATAAATGGTAAGGAAGAATATGTTTTGTAGGCTATGTAGGAGTTAATCTAATACAAACAGTTTGGTATCAATGACGTAAGTTTGGGTGATTGTCAAAATGTCACAGTTTGTATCTGAGTGTAAATCGGGTGATCCTCTAAGTAAAATGTTACATCAGAATTGTTCAGACATGTTGTGTACACCAAAGATAGAGCCTCACAAGTTCTGTAGATAGCTGAGTAGGGTGACTCTTTGCTGATTGTATACTTGGCAGTGCAACAGAAAATGTAAGTCACGCTCTCACAACGAGACCCGCAGATACAAGCTGCACTAGGGGTTGGCTAAATTCCATGTGCACATGAGGAGGTTGTGATCAGAATTGTCAACTAAGCCCTTCACGTCGGTCGCTAACGTAATGAACCTCTTCCCGCCCGCGCTAAGCACATTGATTGCGGAGTGCTGTATTAGTGCCCCATCAAGTCTATTTCTTCAAAGTACATGAAGCATGGCATATCTGAAAGCGTGCGGACGTACGGATCTCAAGAGAAGGTGACCGCCCATGAGAGCTGTAGATACCGTGAGTATAATGTAGAGACTACCGGTCACGGCGCTAGTAAAGGTAAAATTATTTTATACGTTGTCCTTAGCTTCATCTAGCTGCATCTTCTAGCAGTTGAATATTACCCATGCCCCGATATCTTGTGTTGTTCTTTGAGAGATGGTAGTCTGCACATTTCCGTTTGGCCCAGGGTAAAGATTGGTTCAATCATTGCATAATCCTGTCATTTGTCCACATCAAACAATTTATTGGAAAGCTGGTCCAGCGGCGGATGAATTATTGGGATAGCCTTATCACAGCGGCCCATTCCCTACATCTAAATGTCCTGCCTGCAGTTGTAGGCAGTAAACTGTAATTGGGAGCCGCAGATCTGTACAGGCAATTTCCGAACAACAAGTGTCTAATCTTGTTCTACCATTATCTTATCGCCAAAAGGGCGCGACGTTTTTTTGTATTTGATGTAACCTGGTCTAACAATTTCCGTGAACCACTGGAGATTGGCTTGTGTGTGTGAGATGGTGGATCTACGGTAATTGTAAATGTCGTTCATCCCGTGGGTTTAAGTTTTGTCTCTCGTCCTAATTGGAAAGGGCAGTCCTGTTTTGGAGCCGGTAGACTACTGAAATGGAGTATTGATGTTTCTGTGAATCCATGCATTCTTAGTTAGCGACCTACTTGGTATGCGTGTCGAACTTTCAGAGGCTCGCTGGACGTCAGGAGCCCCTGTTAACCTTTCCGTTGTTTTCCATAGAACTGCTGTTGATGTGTATATTCCATGACGGGCGTTTTATATGCAGATCGCTTGCAGTCGGCGCTAGAGGGCGTTTTTGTGGATTTGGCTGAACCGTTCCCTGGAGAATAATCCATCCAAGCCGCTGCAGGCTGGCTCCGGTGCGCCGCGGGCCGGCAGTGATAATTCTCCCGCTCAGTGTAATTACAAGCCTGTCAGATGGGATTACGGTCGCACCTCGCCCAGGTCTGTGTACACTCGGATTGATCGCCAATCCCGCCGCTCAGAACGGCTCGACGTGACCTTAATCTCCGGATATCTCCAGAACACCGGCTTTGCGGATCGACTTCGGTAAGCACTACAGGATTTATCATATCGGATGGGCGATATTAATTTCATCATCCAGAGAGATGAGCTTCCACGACCGATATCAAGTTCAGTCGTTGGTAATCTGGAGGTGTGACACGCGGAATACTTGTATTGTACACACCGTCGTGTCCACGGCGTATCTATCGGATATCTTATTGTTTTAATGCCTTTCATAGATCCTTAGCATTGGATATTTCAGCCGTGTTGAGCCGCAGAACTAGTCTGAATATGCATGCCGCTCCGGGGTTTGACTGGAGCTGAGGGAAAATCGGCCCCCGCCGTACCTCTCACCTCCCGCTAAACGTCGCTCCCAGCCCGCCGCCAGGCAATGAAAGAGATAAACTCGTTTCCTTTCAATTGCCAAATCACTGTACTTATGCAAATTAAACTGGTATTAGTGCTATCAGATGCAGTGCTTTTAGTATCAGGCCTGGCGGCCATAACATGTTGAAGATGCGCGGTATCAAGTGGAATCAGTTAAACATTAAGCCTGGGTGGCGCTGTGCTACATAACGTTATACATGTCAATTTCAAATGGCTTCAAACCGGAACGCCGAAAACAACGTTAAGGGGTCACCTAACTTCCAGGTATTTTTCCTCAGAGTATTGTATTGTCGGATTTTCTACAACGACATGGAAAGCAACAATAGTAAAAATAAAAGGCTTATAAGTATGATATTTGAGTTTTGGATACCATTGAAAAATGTATTCAACATCTGGAAAATGTTCATTTAGATGCCTTGCACCCTCAATAGGGACTGTTGCGTGTCTGTGATTATGCATATTTGTGGTCAGCATAACTTGAGAAGGCCTGGGTGGATTGTCGTGATATTTGGTATGTGGGTAGGTCTTGAGGAGGACCGGCTGGCCGCTGTCCTTGGTACTGAAGCAGATCGACAGGTTTGAACATTTTGTGTTCTAGCCTGGACATGATATGGTTTTGTCTTTGGGTGGAAGATACCTCTTTATGTCAAAACTAGAGTTCCACGATCTCATACCTTCGCCAAATGATGTTAGCTTTTATGATTAAGAAATTATATATTAATCCCCCTAATTATGCAAATAGGATCCTCAATTGCATGAATTATATATGTTGATCATATTCTCCACCAAAAAACAGTCTTATTTTAACAAAGAATGCCATGATGAAATTTTCTCATGAATTATGCAAATGAGGTCCTTATTTGAATAAGTTATGTTTAATTATGTTCACCTTAACTTAACTTTCAAACACCCCAAGTATGAAATTCCAGGCAGTTACCACTATGTAATTATAATATTTTCTCATTAATTAGGCAAATTAAGTCTTCATTTGCATAATCGATATCTGCCTGTGTTTCTCTCATTCTTAATAACATATGTCACAAGCTTGAACTTCCTATTATGGAATGCAGCTAATAAATAGAATTTCCTCATTAATTATGCAAATTACATCCATATTTGCATAATTGTAATATCATTATGTCAAGCATCACTCAAGCTACCTACATATCAAAAATCACGATGATCCATCAATCGGTTCTTGAGTTATCCTCCTTTAAACATTTGTCCATTCAACCCCCCTGCAGTTCTAGAGCAAGCAACTAGGGGGCTCAAACTCATGTCACTTTATCCCCAGCAAAAGAGCTATCTACCATCCAAATTTCGTCACCCTAGCATGTCTGGATCATGAGATATCAAAACCGGAAGTTCTGCTGCAGTACCATGACAAGCCGCCAGGTGGCCCAAAATCTAATCATTTTGAGGTCTCATCAAGACCTACCCACCTACCAAGTATCAAGACAATCCATCAAGACCTTCTCAAGTTATCGTGTTGACAGACAGACAGACACACACACACACACACACATACACGAACGCCCCTGAAAACATAACCTTCTTGGCGAAGGTAAAAATGGTGTAGGTTTACAAATGTAGTTCCCCTAGCAGCTTATTCTGGAACTGCAGGGTCGTTAATGTTGATGGTAAATCTTTCAAACAGGGTAAGTTACAGCGAACGACGGGTTTTGATGATTTTCGGATGCAGATAGCTTAGACAGAACTGTACAAAATTAAATACAAAACATACAAATGATAAATTATGATATTCGATGAAATGATGAAATTCTATAATCCGAGTGTTTCACATATTATCATTTTATTATTGCCATTATCACAAAACCTTCTATGTAGGGAATAATGACGTTGACCGTGTTTGTTTCTTGTCAAGTAACTTCCCTCTGGGTGGTTACTTGTACAGGTTAGGAGGTTTGAGAGCTTTGTTATATATCCAGGTTCTGTCCTCACACCGTTCTCCTGGTGAATGTGCGCCGTCTGGTGGGATGATGGCTGTTTGCTGGATGTAATAATGTCCTGTATGTCTAACCTTCATCAGCGTAAAAAGTACAATTGTTTTCAGGATCCGATATACTACTACCACAAACCTTAATATGTCGGTACTGTGATCTAGGAAGAATTGAAGATGAGAAACATTTTGTAATAGAATGTAAACTATACAACAAAGAGAGCAGATCTTTATAATCTGATACAATCTATGTTCCCCTTCTTCGTGTATCTAAGCTGTGCAAATAAATTTATATTTCTAATGAGCTTAGACAAACCTTCATATTGAAAGATACCTGTTCTTACCTTTCTGCCATTACTAAGAAACGAGAAGAAACAGAATTTCCTTAATTTACTTAATTGTAGTTACTTGACGATGTATATATGTAACGTTATCTGTATTCCACCCTGTTGTTGTGACCTGTACTTAACCCAGTGGGTATGTGTGTACAATAAAGGTCTTCATTTATTTAAAAGTTTAATTTTTTTCGTCAATAAATGCTGGAATCGTAGAACGCTGAGATTGTATCACAATGATACTAGTACGCAAGCGATTTGGCTCATGTTTGTCTTCAGATTTATTTTCAAGGTATTTTGTCCTTAATTTCACTTCGAATGAACAAGCTTAAACTCTATAACAATTTCACTTGGTAAGCTATAGTATCAGGGTGGTAAAAGATGGTTCCTCAGACAAGCAGTTTACCAAACCACTTCCCACTTCCTTCAATATAAGCACCTCTGCACAACTGGTGTTCCTGATGGCTAGCAGGGTTTGCGGGGTATGGCATCTAGACTGCTATGCCTGAGTTGTATTTCAGCTCGATTGTATAAGTGTAATTGCACTGGTGGTGAGGTGATGGGGGTTCCGATAATGATGTATCGGTTAGTGGAAACATCAAGAGATATTATGGATCACAGCAGGAACTCATGTGTACTCAAGTTTTTACCTTCGTCTAGAAGGTTAAGTGTTAAGTACAACATATATAGTGGTTATAACTTGGGGTGTGGTACATTTATCTTATGATATTTGGTAGGTAGGTTGGAGTTGGGACAACAAAGACTAAGGTGAATTTTGGTTATTCTAGTGGCTTCAGCGGTGTGCATGGGTGTGATACGAGTATCTCTGTGAAAGGTTTTGAACCTAAGCCATCTACAACAGTCCAATGCATGACACATGGCAAAACAAATCACTGTAGTGGGGTCGTGTGGCGTACATGTAGTTGCAGCGTGCTGGACTCGGAACCAAGAGGTTCCGAGTTCGAGTCCTGACATATCACTGATCTTGTGCCCTTGGGAAAGGCACTTTACACGACTTTTCTCACTTAAGTCAAGTGAAAATGAGTATTGTCCTGTCCTGTATTCTTCCTCTGCGTTGGTGGCGGCATAAAATAAGTTGATATAGCTTGAGTGTGCTGTCACCATGTCTAGTCATGAAATGTTGGAATATTAAAAAAAATCACTGTACTATAGAAAAACAACGCAAATAACAAACGACGAAGGTATGAGGTTTTGTACTTCTAGTTTTTTAGGATTCGACTATGTCCAACCATACCTTATCCAGAAGGGATTGATGTAAAGGGACGTGAAAACGTCATCTGATTTGGCTGCTCAGAAGCAAGAAGATTGCGTTGGATGGTACAGATGTAGGGAGATGGAGCCTCTCCATTATTGCACTCAATATCTGACTTGAGACTCCGACTCTTTAACAGAAAGCGACGGTACAAATGGAATGGAATGACCTTTCACCGGGAAGGTCCGCTTCCATTTTGCATGATCAAAGTCGTGACCTTGTCTGCCGTTAACTGTATCCACCAGGCAACCAGCTCATACCGGATATCGACCTCAGAACGACCGTTTTCTTTAAACGGTTCATGACGTGATGACGATTGATAAATCATCTTTGAAACACTCATAACGTTACGTACCACCAGGAGCCTCGCATCTATGTATTCATCCACAATTGAAGTACGCTGTATCCATAAATACAGGAATGTTTGTGGTGTTCAAGAAAGTCAATATATATATTTTACAGGCAAATGTAGGATGTTTCCACACCCCGTCCCTGACTCATGCAAACAGTAACTATAACTATAATTACTGAAAATACTGAGAATACCTTTATTGTACATTCATGCCACAACGGGTCAAGACTTAACAGACACATAACAAACGTATGTAGAAAATTGGAAGGAAAAGATACACTACTTGACTTAGACATACATATATAAGGAACATACAAGGGTACCATACTAGGCTAATACAAAGTGTTCTAGCTACTGAGGTAATACAGAGTGGTCAACTTCTCGCTTTTTTGTACAATGGAAAATGTGGGAACAGACCATGTTTGTGGTACAGGGTTTGTCTAGACGCATCAAAAAATATTAATTTATCATTTGCACTTAGGTGTTCAAAGTATGGGAACTTCTCTTTGATATGATTAAAAGAACAGATCTTTCATTACAATATAAAGTACAGTCTAAAATAAAGTGTTGTTCATCTTCTATTCTAATCATGTTACAGTATTGGCATTATGGCCGTGCAAATGTCTCTCTCGTCTCATCTCATTCTATCCCTTAATCTAATTATTCGCCCGTTGGGGCACCGCAGACGATCTGACAACCAGGTTTCTCCACCTTTCTTGGTTTTCTGCCCTACTTAAC